AGCGTGGCCTGTGCTGTCAGGGGCATAGGATGGAGGCATCACCGTTGCATTCCCATCGGACTCATGCACCTCCCGGAGGGTTTTATTTTTGTTTGTTTGCTTGTTTTGGTTTGCTTCTTTTCCAGAGTGTGGAAAGTCTACAGTGCAGAAAGGCTTTAACCTGCCAGTTGATTTGAAATACTACCCCCTGCGCAGGGCCGTATGCATCCTGCCAAGCTGCGTTATATTCTGTACTGTGTACAATAAAGAAGTTTGCTTTCAGTTTACCAAGTGTCTAAAACCCGCCTCTTTCTTGCCCCCTGTGTCTGATTTTAAAGCAAGCAGAAGCCACCTGGCTATGTCTCTTTCTCCCCCACTCTCCCTCTCTCATTGTCTCTCAACTGTTGAGCGTTACCCAGGATTGTGGAGGTGAGAGTAGCGTAGGGAACTGTTACCTAGAAATAGAGAATACAGCTGCTCTTTGGCCTCACCTCTTAACCTCTGGCTGAAAATGTGATCCAAAGGAGGGGAGGAAGAGGTCCTTTTCCCAGCCAGTGGTGAGCTGAGGCCACCCCATCCCCTTGAGCCCACCTACTCACCAACACTTCAGTATTTTTTTAAAGATATTTTTATTGATTTCATAGAGGAAGGTAGAGGGAGAGAGAGAAACATCAATGATGAGAGAAAATCATTGATTGCCTGCCTCCTGCACGCCCCACACTGGGGATCGAGCCCACAACCCAGGCTTGTGCCCTTACTGGGAATCGAACCATGATTTGGTTAACCACTGAGCCATGCCAGTCGGGCAACACTTAGTATTTTTTAAAACATAGCTCGTGTCTGGGCTCTGAGTTGTGTAAAAAGATTACTAACTAGCCAGGACTTAGAGTTCCAGAATGACTCTAGCTCAGCCTCTTACATAGATACTTTTGAAAACCAGTAAAAACTCGAGAAAATCATTTATTTCCTAATTTTCCTGAAATAAGTTTTGATCTTAAAGATTTTACTAATAGTTGGTCCCTCGAGAACAACAACAGCAAAAACTTAGGGAAGTCTTCCTGCTTTCTTTTTTCTGACCCTGCAGCAGTGCGAAAATCGTCCAAATCTGTCTTTTTCTCATGGGTTCACTTGGGAAAAGTCTGGGACAAAATAAAGTTTGCAGGGCTGTGTGCAGTATTGTGCCTGTTAGTGTTCCCATTTCAGCCTTTTTCCGCAGCTTACCTTGGGCTTTTCAGGACTCCTATTACTGTAGAGGAATAAGTAGAGCCTTTTTTCAAGCCTATAACAGAAGGCTTTCTGTAAGTTTATCTACTTTCTCTCTTAAGGGCATTTTACAAGCCCTTAAGTGTAAAAACATCTGAAACCGAATGGGTGCACAGCCGCTTGAATGGGAGCTTGTGAGGGATGAATGTCTGCCACATAAACCCATTAGCTCGGACAGATTAAGATGCTTGGGGAGAAGGCAGAGGAGCCCAGGACAAAGCAGCTCTGCCTCAGCTTCACCATGATAAGGCTTTGACAATCAGCGTCCCATTATTCATGGGCTCATTATCCAGCCCGGGCCCAGACCCAGGTCGTTAACCTAACTCGGGAGGTCACCAAACACTGGGCGCCCTTTTCATGCTGGGCGCTGGGATAAGGAAGCCCAGAAAATGTGAAGTTTACTCTTCATCGAGGTCCCTTTTCACCAGCCAAGCCAAGGAAACAATGCTTATTCAGTTGTTCAATGACAAAGAGGTAGTGTGAGGGCAAAAGAATGTGCTTTTGAAAGCCAGAGTATGTGTAGAATCTAAATTCTAATGCAGCTGGGACAAATGTAAACGAACGTGGGAGAAAAACACTCATGTTTCCAGTTGGTCGGAAACCTTGGACAGTTTGTTGCCCAGTGGTACAGGTGGCTGGAGCTCAGTGTGTGGCCTCTCAAACACAAGCAAAAGGGGAGTGGGAGTAGAGAGAAAAATCATCAGTTCGACATAGGAGAGCATTAATTTTATTCAGCATATATATATATTGTACTTAAAATAGAGGGTGGGGATGAGAGTACCACACAGATAAGCCCTGGAGTCCTTTTGATCTCGGCAAATAACGCTCGTGTCCCATTCAGGAGGGGCCCCTTGCATGGCCAGCCTTCCGTTAGCTCCGCCAATTTAAGAGCTGGCTCTACACCCGCCTGGGTTTGTTGACCTTGGCAGTGAACCTCAGATAGCTAACCTTTGGATAGCACTTTTCAGTTTACAGAGCACTTTTTCATTCCCATTATCTTTTTGGCAGACTTTCTTAAATGGTAACACTTTGTTGAAATTGAAAATACGGCTGTTAGCCTCCAAAATTACTTTCTTGGAGTGTTCACCGTGGCTACACTGGAAAGAGAACTAGACACTGGGAGGCAGGACACGGATTCTGGCCCCAGCTCTGAGGTTGACTGGATTAACTAGATGATTGCTGGGCCATCCTGGCCTAAGCTTCTAAATTGAAAATAGATTGTAGGGGAGCAAGACCAACTAGTAGGCTATTATAGTAATCCAGGTGAAGTGAGATAGTGGCTTTATCCAAGGCATAAAGAGGTCATAATTTGGATATATTGTTATGGTAAGCCAATAGGTTTTGTTTCTTTGTTTTGTTTTGTTTTGCTTTGTTTTTTTAATTATTAATTAAAGCTTTATTGTTCAGATTATTACATTTGTTCCCTTCCCCCCCCCCATAACTCCCCTCCACCCAGTTTTCACCCCGCCTTCCTCCCTTACTCCCCACCCACTGTCCTCATCCATAGGTGCACGATTTTTGTCCAGTCTCTTCCCGCATCTCCCACACCCCTTTCCCCCACCAAGAATAGTCAGTCAACTCCCTTTCTATGTCCCTGATTCTATTACAATCACCAGTTCATACTGTTCATCAGATTATTTATTCACTTGATTTTTAGATTCACTTGTTGATAGATGTGTATTTGTTGTTCATAATTTGTATCTTTACCTTTTTCTTCTTCTTCTTCTGAAAGAATATCCTTCAGCATTTCATATAATACTGGTTTGGTGGTGATGAACTCCTTTAGCTTTTTCTTGTCTGTGAAGCTCTTCATCTGACCTTCAATTCTACATGATAGCTTTTA